CCGCCGACGAGTCGCCACGTTGACGCTCGTTGCCGCCTCGTTGCCGCTTAGGGGGTCCGTTGAGGGTTCGCCACGTGGCCGCCCGTTGCCGCCTCGTTGCCGCCTCGCTGCTGCTCGGGGGGTCCGCCGAGGAGTCGCCATGGTGAAGCTGCCGCCCGTCGCCGCCTCGTTGCCACTTGTGGGGCCTCCCTGCGGGCCCCACAAGTGGCCGCCCGTTGCCGTGTTGTCAGCGTCGGAGGGGTCCGCCCGAGGATTCGCCACGTTGCCGCCCGTTGCCGCCTCGTTGACGTCGGGGGGTCCGCCGAGGATTCGCTACGTTGCCGCCCGTTGCCGACGTTTGCCGCCTAGTTGACGCTTGGGGCGTCTGCCGAGGATTCGCCACGTTGCCGCCCGTTGACCGCGTCACCGCATAGCTTACACCACATATCATTCACCACAGAGCTTATACCGCATAGCTCGGGCCGGGCGAAAGGGGGGATTGGGAAAGGGGGGGGGTACGAAATTTGCTGCATGCAGCTGGTTTCGGCCTCACCGAGGGGCCCATTCCTCGATACATGGGCGCCTCCCGACGCCGGGAGGCGCCGGGAAAATCAGCCACGTGAGCTGATTCTCAAACCCCCCCTTTGCTATCCTCCCCTTTCGCCCGACCCGAATAGCGTACATCACGCAGATTGCACCATGTAGCTTGCACCACCTGGCTTGCACCACATAGCGTACACCACATAGCGTACACCACAGATCTGACACACCCGCAGTGCGGGGTCGTAGCGTTCGGGACCCACGCTGGCTGACACTGTCTGTGCTCTGGGCATGTGTATACATGTATCTTACCAATTTGAAACATATCCCTATCCCTATCCCTATGTTTGACATCACCTCACCTCGATGCCGATCTTAAGGATTCCCTCAGTTTCTGAGGGCCTATCCCTAAGATTGTCCTCGCTTTTTGCTCGCCCATCTTAGGGATAGGGATACGTTCGAGGCTGGTTAATATCGGAGGTTGGGGGGTGAGTCCGACGTGAAACGGAGACCCCCCCTACCGGGAAATCGATTTCGGTTTCGGGCTCGTGTCGTGCGTGCCGTGCGCGCGTGCGGGCGAGACGGAGCTGCGTGGGCGGGCGAGAGGAAATCCTCCTGTGGCTGGGCCGCGGCCGGACCAAATGTAACTCCTCCGGCGGCCGGTGCCCCGCGGTGTCCCGCCAGTGTCCCGCGGATGCCCCGAAATCCTCCTGTGGCTGGGCCGCGGCCGGACCAAGTGTAACTCCTCCGGCGGCCGGTGTCCCGCAGGTGTCCCGCGGGTGTCCCGCTGGTGTCCCGCCGATGTCCCGTGTTGTCCCGTGGTGTCCCGTTGAGTGAGATTGATAGTGATATCGATAGTGAGATTGATGTGGTGTCCCGAGGTGTCCCGTGGTGTCCTATGGTGTCCCGTTGAGTGAGATCGATAGTGAGACAGACCGATAGTGAGATCGAGAGATGTCCCGCGGCGTCCCGTGGTGGCCCGTGGTGGCCCGTGGTGTCCCGTTGAGTGAGATCGATAGTGAGATCGATAGTGAGGTCGACAAGTGTCCCGTGGTGTCCCGTGGTGTCCCGTTGAGTGAGATCGATAGTGAGATCGATTGAGTCAGATGTTGGTTCCCCCCCTTTCTTCTCCCCCCGCAACCTCCTTATCACCCGAAGGGTGGTCGTAGGGGTAGAATATGATAGTTCTCTCTCTCTCTCTCTGTCCTCCTCTCTCCCTCTCTCTCTCTCTCTCGCTCTCTCTTTCTCTCTCTCTCTCTCTCTCCCCCTACTCTCCCTTAGCAAGGAGGGCCAGGAAGAGGATGAGTTGCGCGGCGAAGCACGATGTGTGCTCAATGCCATCCCCTGATGAAGCACTGCACGCGTTTCAGCGGTGGCGTAGTGTATTGGAACGAACCGTGTCTTTCTCCTCCGATTGTTCCTCCACCATCTCCATGTGATTATCCTCTTCCGACCCTTCCTGGAAGCCCCCTCTCAGGTGGGGGTCGACGAGGAGAACGAGAAAGAGAGAGAGAGAGAGATAGAAAGAGATTGGGAGAGAGAGAGAGAGAGAAACAAACAACAACGAGAGAGAGAAAGAGAGAGAGAGAAAGAGAGAGACGGAGAGAGACAGTCAGAGACGGCGAAGGAGAGGGAGGCGGAGTGGCAGAAAGAGAGAAATAGAGACAGAGATGGAGAGGGAGAGAAAACGAGAGAGCAAGATCAGATCGTTGAGAGAAGGAAGTGTGCACGCACGGACGAGTGGACACATGGGGCGACGGACAGACGGACAGACCGCCAGAATGACAGACAGACGGCTAGAAAGAACGACAGAACGATAAAAGGTCATAGAGACAGTCGCATGCAGGCCAGCAGACAAACAGACAGGCATGCGAGCAGGTGGACGGACATTTGGAAAGAACGACAGGCATGCACAACCCGATAGAGAGAGGGAGAGACAGAGTGAGACGAGCCTCCATACATAGATATCACGATGGGGTGTCGGTGGGGTATCCGATGTCGTCCCCTCGGGATATCCACACACATACACATCACGACGCAATGAAGAAGACATGCGCAGGCAGGCAGTCAGCTGGACGTAGGCAGATAATACACAGAGGCGCAGGGAGATGAGGAGACAGACAGAGCGGACGCAGATCTATGAGCAGAGAGGGAAAATCAAACAGATAGGCCCAGACCCCCGACGACTCCACATTGTTCGAGTCGCCAGCCCTTGAGCCCTCGACTTCCTCCTGGAACTGGTTTATCCTCGCGCGTCGTTACTTTTGTTGGCGGCCCCACGACCCGGAAACGGCCTGCGCAATCCGCCGCGATCCGTCTAGCATTCGCCAGGGGTCTGGGCGTCGGAGGTATCCAGAGGCCTCTGGAGGTTTAAAAATGCCAAATGAAAATAGATGAGCAACATCGACAAGCTCCTCGATATTCGGTCTTCGGTCACCGAAATTAGCGAAGAGCTTGGCGCGCAATATTTTGGGAGTCTGGGTCCACGGTCGCCAGAGGAGGGGCAACGTCCATAGTAACGAAGCCCACGGAATCGGCGACGACGACGACGTCGACATCGACGCCGACGTCGGCGGCAGCGTCGTCGTCGTCGACGGCGGCGGCAACGTCGACGCTTAAAGCGACGACGGCATTGACGACGAGGTCGACGTCGGCATCGGACAGAGTGCTTTCTGTGGCCGCTTGGAGGGCGAGGGTCGAACAGCCCCCCCTCCAAGGGGAGGAAGGGGGTTCGAACCTTCCACCAATCGGCGCCAGCGACAACGAGGACGACGACGACGACTTCGACGACAGAGCAGATCGAGCAGACCGACGACGGTCCGCGTCGTCGTCGACGTCTGTTTCCGCGGCCATGTTTGCAGTTGCCGATGTCGACGTCGCCGTCCGTTTGCTTCCGCGTCAGCGAGCAAGGGGAGAGTGGAGGCGGGGGGGGGAGTCCCAACTGTTCCGACGTGTCGTGGGGCGTTCCCAAGGAAAGCATCCGTGAAACGTTTTCCCTCCGACATCGATCAGCGAAAACGACGACGAGGACGACCACGACGACGCCGCCCTCTGTGCCGCTGCCCAGGCCTCCGAAGGAATCCGAATGCCGCTGACGGTTGACGAAGGCCTCCGAGGGCCTCCGAAGGTCGTCAGAGCACACAAAGAGGTCGTCGACGGCGGCGGCGGCGAGCAACGACGAACGACGACGTCGAAGATGACGGCATCGCCTCGATCCCCGACGACATCGACGACCAGGACCCGGGCTTCGTGATCGTCGTCGACGTCGCATCGTCGTCGATCGTCGCCGTCGCCGTCGCCACCGTCGTCGGGTGGCCGCCGGCGTCGGCGTCGTCGACGATCGGCGACCGACGGCGACGACAACGGCGACGGACGCGACGGCGGCCGCGGCGGCGCTCGACGACGGCGACTTCGTCGTCGGCGGCGGCGGCGCTCGACGACTGACGTCGCTTGCGCTCGTCGACGACGACGACGACGGCGACGACGGCGCTCGACGACGACCGACGACGACGACGACGACGACGAGCGATCGCGAGCACGACCACGACGACGACGACCATGACGACGACGACGACGACGACGACGACGACGACGACGACGACGACGACGACGGCGACGGCGACCGCGGCGGCGGGCCTCCCAGGGGCGGCCCCGCTGTGGGCGGCGGCTGCGCCGGCACCAGAGGTCCGAGGGGGGCGCGCGGGCGTCCGTCGTGGACAACGACGACGACGAGATCGTCGACGACGACGACGGCGACCACGAGGACGACGAGATCGTCGACCACGGCGAGGACAACGAGGACGAGGAGGAGGAGGAGGAGGACGACGACGACAACGACGACGAGATGATCGTCAATGACGATGACGACGACGAGGACGAAGAGACCGTCGACTACGACGAGGACGACGAGGACCAGCAGGACGATTAGGTGGACAACGAATGGGGCCGTTTTCCCAGAGGCGGGGGAGATGCAGGGCGCCGCAGCACGCCCCTCGTCCTCACGGCGGGGCTCGCCCCGAGCTGCCGTGCTGAGCGCACCCAGGGGGAGGCCCCGTGGAGCAGCGGCATCGGTTTTATGCCGGTCGTTGCAAGCATGACGAACCAACAACACGCACCCATGCCCACAGGGGGATCGGAGAGGGCCATGGGTGCGTGTTGTCGGATGGGGGTCCCCGCTCGAACGGGAGCGTTCCCCAGGGTCGGACAACCCGCACCAGGGTCGGACAACCCGCACCCATACCCATAGCCAGTCTTCCTCCCAACGACCTCCCTATGGGTATGGGTGTGTGTTGTTCGTTCGTCAAAGTAGGTTGTGCCGGTTTAACGCCCGCATCGGTTTTACGCTGGTATCGGTTTTACGCCGGTCGTTTGTTCAGGAATCGATGTGCTCTTGCTGTGTGTTGCCCTTCTCTTGGAGGGCCTGTGCCCGATCTGCACATGATCCGACTTCCTGCTGCATGTTTTTGCCTACTTGTTCCGACCGACGTGTATATGTACGTATCCCGTTTGTTTGAACCTTGTTTGGCGGTCCAGGGACGGTTTGACGTGTTCTTGGCACACGAGGGTGGCACATATTCTCCCGTTCGCGTCCCTTGAGGCTGAGACTCCACGATCGACGACAAAAATGCGCCCTCAGATGTTTGAGAGTAGGATGTCTTACCAGATGCTACGACTGTAAACGCAGAGGTTTCTTGGCATCAAATCTCGGCCACGCGCAGACGGGGGTGGGGAAGGGGGGAAGGCTTCTTAGAAGCGCCCCTTCTTCGTAGAAGGCGCGGGCCTTGTCTGTAGACGTAAGACCACCACCTTCCAAGAAACAGCCTCCTCCTAAGAAGGATTCCCCCCTCCCCCTACACCCTTGAGCGCGCCGCCAAGACTCGGGCACGAGTTCAGGGTCCCTGAAATCCACATCCGCTGCGGCGCAGGTCTGCCAACGAGCTCGGCGGTCGCCCGAGGAAAAGGGGCGGGGCGCCCGTGGCGCCCCGTGTTAATTCTGGCGGGTCCTGCCCCTTTCGTCTCTGTGTCTGGCATCGCCTTGCGAGTGCTCACCAAGAGCGCACGCATGTTGGGCCCCATGTGTCGGGGGAGGAGGAAGAAGAGGAGGAGGAGGAGGAGGAGGAGGAGGAGGAGGAGGAGTAGGAGTAGGAGGAGGAGGAGCAGGAGGAGGAGGAGGACGAGGAGGAGCAGGAGGAGCAGGAGGAGCAGGAGGACGAGAAAGCAAGGCACCAACACGCACACACGCACACACACACACACACACACACACACACGCGTACACCGTTCCTCCACCGGCAATGTGGTGGCACCGTCGCGGATGATGGTTGAACCGAGCCAAGCCAGAGGAGGTTGTCGATGATGAGTTGGAGCCAAGCCGCTTGGGAAGACTTGAGTAGGGGAGCCCGCCGATATGCGTAGGCGATGAAACCGAGTAGGTGGTTTAGGTGGTCGGTGCCAAAGTGTAGAGATTGGCCTAGCAACCTGAATTGGTGGACACGTGTATAGCTGTATGTCTAGACCAAGGCGTTCGAGCACTTTGAGGACCTCAGCATTCGGGATGGCCTGATCACCATGCTGTTGTAAACATGCTGCCGATCGATATCGTCGAATGGCAGTGACTCGGAGGGTCTTACGGGCCCCAGGTGCGAAAGTGGTCCAGGTCCCAGCATTGTGCACGAGAAAGGCGGAGATGAGGGCGTCGACGGATCTCATCTTTATCTGTGGTGCCCTGCTCCGACTGGATGGTCTTGAGCAGTCTGCGCCGAGGAATCTTGCAAGAGGGACTCCTGCAATTCGGTGTGATACTTCTTGTCCATTAGCCGGGCGGTTGGAGGGAGCAGGAGGGAGGGATTTGGGCCCCTGGCAGTTAGCGGGGGGATTTTTCACAAGGGGAGGTGCACCAGCCTCGAACTTATCCCTATCCTTAAGATTGACAGACCAAAAGGCGACGATAATCTTAGGGATGCGCCCTCAAAAACTAAGGGCATCCATCGCATTGGCATCGTGATGAGGCGGTGCCCAGCATAAGGATAGGGATATCCGAGGCGGGAATGTATACATGACCACCGCCTGGAGGGTCAGTTTTCGGAGCCTCGGCAGGCGGTGGATATGGATATATTCGGGCCCCCGAGGGCCGAAATGTTATTATTGATCAAGGATTGCCACAGGCGTCTCAAGTTCAACGTAACGCTGAACATTAAAGTACATACAGAGCCTTCAAGCCACGGTTACTCTACCAAGTCGCTTGCCGCCCGCTGGGGCACCGGGACGTCGGTTCCCAGGCGGTGGATATGGATAAATCCCCGCCTCGCAGGATGCAGTGCCGTTTTTTGTACATGCTCCGCGTGCGGACCATGTATTGAAAATGCAGGGAGTTAGCATTAAAACAACAACGAGGTCATGCATACATTTATTCATTGATCAATCATGTCATAAAAATCCCATATCTTCAAACATCCTATGTATTGAAAACTGCCCTGTATGCTCCAGGCTGGTAAAGGGCCGGTCGAGGAGTGCAGGACAGCGGCCCCCACGGTGGGCCCTGAACGGCCCGTGGACGCTGCCGCCGCGGGCCCGGACGGCGCAGAGAGGGAGCACGCGTCCTCAGCCCTCATCTGCCCCCGCCACCCTTCCATCGGAGGCCCGAGAGAGGCGGAGGAGGCGGAGGAGGAGGAGGAGGGGGAGGACGAGGAGGGGGAGGAGGAAGACGGAGGAGAAGAAGGATGCAGGAGGAGGGACGACGGCGACGGCCGTGGCGGCGACGACGACGACAACAGACGACGACACCAGACGATTGCCGACGACGACGGGCGGGTCACGACAACGATTGACGAGTCACGACGACCGACGACCACCTACGACGACGACGACGACGACGACGACGACGACGACGACGACGGCGACGACGTCGGATCTGCGCCGGCCCCGCTGCAGGAGGGCCTGTCAGCCGTACCTGCGTGGGCCCTGGAGCACGTGTCGTCAAAGGCTGCCAGCCGCCCCGCGCGGACGTCGAGCAGAATCTCTTGCACGGACTTTCGCCCCCCCCCCCCTACCCCCACCCCACCCCACCCACTGGGTTGGCCAGAACCATCAGGAAATCGTTGGCCAAACGCTTCCGCCGCCTTTTCAAACAGCGCTACGTAGGCCGAAAGGCGTACCAGCGAGTCCCGATTTGCGTGGAGTCAAGGTTTCCTCTGAGGCCTCGCCACGCCTCCCCCCCCCTACATGCAGGTAAAAGTGGCTGAGTCTACAGACAGGCTGCCCTTGGGGAGGTCGCCCCAGACTCTCAAAGTGTTGAGAGAAGTCAAGACGGAGGTGTTTCGCTGTTTTTGGCCTCTTCGGACCCTCGCGGGGCCGGGGAACCGTCAAAACAACTCGGGACGAATAGCTGGTCTTGGGAAAGGGGTCCAGACCTCACGGGGTCCACGTTGTGGCAGTATTTACAGAGGGACCCAACCATCTGCTGCTGCGATCATCGCAAGGAGCGGCCCTCTCTCATCATAGACTGCCCGCGACGAAAGGGATGCAGCCCGGGGCAGCGCGGCTGAGGAACGGAGGACCATACAGGCGCGCATCGCCTTGAGCGTTTCGCGATCGCGGTCCACGATGGCGCTAGTCATCCCGAGGGAACCCCTACGACACGCGAGGGAGGGGCCAACGCCTTCAAAGCAGATGTCTCCCGCACCCCTTACAGCGAGTGCGATAGCACATCAAGGATTAAATAGCGGTTGTTCCTCCTCGCTCCGCCACCGTCCTCATCCTCATCATGATCGCCTCCTCTTCTTTCACCTCCTCCTGAGTGGCTCGCCGAAATTGACGGGAGGGCGCTATGCATTACCTTGCCGCTGAAGCTTTCGGTGGAACTTCCTGTGGGGCCACGAAACGTGTGAGGGGTGTGCCGAAATGAGCGGGGGGACCGTTTTCGATACCCTACCGCTGGGGCCATCTGTGCAGTTTCCAGTGGGGCAACGAAACGTTTGAGGGGGATGCCGAAATTGGTGGGATGACGCTATGCAATACCTTGCCACTGAAGCCTTCGGTGGAGCTCACCGTGGGGCCACGAAACGTGCGGGGGGGGTTCCGAAATTCGCGAAGGACACTGTGCAATACCTTGCCGCTGAAGCTTTCGGTGGAGCTTCCTGTGAGGCAATTCAGCATTTCAACCTCCAACCTCCAGCATCCGACTCTCGACTTCCACCTCCACCAATCAACCACCACCCTCCACCAGCACAACATTCAGACCTCCAACCTCTCACATTTGACTTCCAACTTCCACCACCAATCGACCTCTAGCTGATCTCTTGGGTGTGTCACACAGCGCGTATGGGCCTTCGATTGTACGTGGTGATCTGTTTCTTGAGTGGTACCTGAAAGATGTAACACAGAGTTCATGAGAACACCAATGCTCCCACACCCATGTGCAGTGGATTGGAGGTCCGAGGAGTTCAACTCGAACGTGTTTTGCTATGAGTTCGAGATCACAGAAAGGACGATGAAACCCACGGGTTTCTCCGAAAGTCTCACACCACAAGCACTACGATTTCAACGAGACGACGTGGCTACATCATGAGAAAACGGAGTAGTGGGGACTGTCAGGAAATGAGCTCCTGAAGTACGCATTGTCCTGAGTAGACCCCCGACGCGCGCAGCTTCTCATGCGAGGCCATGGCCTCACCCGCCAAGCCCTTAAGGGGCCCGGGCGCATGCCCGCACAGGCGTTACGTTCCGTTCCGTTCCGTTCCTGTGAGGCAACCAACGTATGAGGGGGGTCCCGACAGTGGCGGGAGGACGCTGTGCGATACCCTGCCACTGGAGCCTGCGGTGGAGCTCCTTCTAGGGCCACGAGGCGCGTGCGCGGTGTGCCGACATGGGCGGAGGGGCGCTGTGCTTGTCGCTGAGGCTCTGCACGTCTCCCCTTTCGCCGCGATGGTCGGAGTGCGCTGCCGCGGCCGCCCTCGTCCGTCTCCCGCCTGCTTGTCCACAATTTGGCCGGCAGGGCCCCCGCTCGGACTGCGGACGCGTCGCGCGTTCGCCACCGCGGCGACCGAAGCAGCTCCCCCCATGGCCCTCTCCCTCTCCTCCGTCTCCTCCTCCTCCGTCTCCTCCTCCTCCGCCTCCTCCTCCTCCGCCTCCTCCGCCGCCTCCCCCGCCTCCTCCTCCGCCTCCTCCTCCTCCGCCTCCTCCTCCTCCGCCTCCTCCTCCGCCTCCTCCTCCGCCTCCTCCTCCGCCTCTCCTCCTGCGCCAGCCGACCCTCGTCCTCCCTGCCCCTCGCGGGGCCCCGGAGCGGCGGGTCATTGCAGACCGGGGCGTCGAATACCATTGCTGGAACCCGCGAGGAGCCGAGATTGTCTCGGCCCACGGGCTGCCGCTCTCTCGGGTAGGCGTCAGCTCCGGAGGGGAAAAAGCACACTGACACTTTTTTGATCCGCGGGTCGAGAGCGCACCTCTTCCGGTCGAAGCTAAGCGGGCCGCGCACAGCTTTAATCAACAAAGGGGGGAAGGCAGGAGGAGGGGCCTCACGTCAAGGCCAAGAGGGGGCAAAGCCCCGGAATCAGGTGGTGCCGAAGACGATGTGCTTGCAAAGGAACGCCTTGTACAGAAGCACACAGACACAATCAATCGTCGACTCCCAGGGACATCGGAGGTTGGGGGGTGAGATCGCAGTGGGAGGGAGACCCCAGCCGGGAAATCGTTTCGTTTCGTTCGTGTCGTGCGTGTGGGCGAGGCGAAGCTGCGTGGGCGCGCGAGAGGACTGAACCCGCCGTTGCATGACAAATGTTGCTCCCCCGTCCGTCCGTCCGTCCGTCCGTCCGGCGGTGGCCCTAGCGGTGTCCCGCGGTATCCCGTGATGCCCCGTGGTGTCCCGCGGTGTCCGCCGCTGCTAGGGCGAAGACACGACAAATGTTTCGCTCCCGTCCGTCCGTCCGGCGGTGGCTCGCGGTTTCCCGCGGCGCGGTGTCCCGTGGTGTCCCGTGGTGTCCCGTTGGGTGAGATCGATAGTGAGATCGATTCTGTGATCGATGTGGTGCCCAGCTGTGTCCCGTGGTGTCCCAAAGAGGGAGATCGATCGTGAGATCGATTGGTGTCCCGTGGCGCCCCGTGGTGTGCCATAGTGTCCCTTTGAGTGAGATCGATAGCGAGATCGATAGTGAGATCGACAGTGAGACTGATCGTGAGATCGATAGTGAGATCGATGTGGTGCCCCGAGGTGTCCCGTGGTGTCCCGCGGTGTCCTAAAAAGTGAGATCGATATTGAGATCGATAGTGAGATCGACAGGTGCCCCGTGGTGGCCCGTGGTGTCCCGTGGTGTCCCGTTGAGCGATATCGATAGTGAGATCGATAGTGGGTCCGATAGTGAGATCGAGAGGTGTCCCGGGGTGCCCCGTGGTGTCCCGTGGTGGCCTGTGGTGGCCCGCGGTGTCCCGCTGAGTGAGATCGATAGTGAGATCGATCGTGAGATCGACAAGTGTCCCGTGGTGTCCCGTGGTGGCCCGTATTGTCACGTTGAAAGAGATCGATAGTGAGATCGATCGTGAGATCGATATTGAGATTGCTATTGAGATCGATACTGAGATCGATGTGGTGCCCCGAGGTGCCCAGCAGTGTCCCGTGGTGTCCCAAAAAGTGAGGTCGAGAGTGAGATCGATCGTGAGCTCGTCAGGTATCCCGTGGTGTCCCGTGGTGTCCCGTTGAGTGAGATCGAAAGTGAGATCAATAGTGCTATCGATACTGAGATCGATGTGGTGCCCCGATGTGTCCCGTGGTGTCCCGTTGTGTCCCAAAATGTGAGATCGATAATGAGATCGACAGGTTTCCCGTGGTGGCCCGTGGTGTCCCGTTGAGTGAGATCGATAGTGAGATCGATTGTGAGATCGATGCGGTGTCCCGAGGTGTCCCGTGGAATCCCAAAAAGGTGTTCTATGGTGTCCCGTTGAGTGAGGTCGATACTGAGATCGATGGTGAGACCGATAGTGAGATCAAGAGGTGTCCCGGGGTGTCCCGTGGTGGTCCGTGGTGTCCCGCTGAGTGAGATTGATAGTGAGATCGATCGTGAGGTCGACAAGTGTCCCTTGGTGTCCCGTGGTGTCCCGTTGAGTGAAAACGATGGTGATATTGATTGAGTCAGATGTTTGTTCCCCCCCCTCTCTTCCCCCCCCCCATGACTTCCCTATCACCAGAAGGTGGTCGTATAGGTATGGAATATGGTAAAATATGTGCGGTGGGGGGAAGACAAAAATCCAAGAAAGATCGGAAAATATTGGGGATCCTGGAAGTTGTGTGTATTTATTTGTGTGTGTCCCTGGGCTGCTTTATCAACGCCCTGGCGGATCAGCGTCCCCGCTCACGGCCCCCCCCCGACCCTCCCGATCCTCAACCAAGACACGCCGGTCATTGGCAGCAGGCTGTCCTGGAGATCCAGTTCCCAATTTGCTTTCAGCGAGCTCCTACTCCAAGAGTAGATGTGTGTTTGCTGCTGTCTGGTATACTCATCGGGCGGGCCCGAATCCAAGCTACTTTGCAGTCGGGCCACGGACGAAGGAACCCTTTTCGTTGGGGAGGGGCTCAGTGCCCCTCTATGGTTTTACAGTCGGTCCCAGGTGTTCCTCGGGTCTTCCATGGGAAACGAAGTTTCACTTGGTTTAAAAACAGGTGCCTCGTTCCTCAGGTATGGGTTCGGGTTCCTTACGGCAGCGTTTCGACTGTACCCCCCTCCCTACTTCATGTTTCCACCTGCTTCTTCCGACCGGCGGGTGCGCAGGCGATGGCCGAGGTATAGGTCGACCCCCCCCCGGGTGCTCTCCACCCATCTGGGAGCCAAAGCAGGACGCACGTTTGCATGAACCCACGAGGGGCGTTCCAAAAAAGGGCTTCGCCTTCGAGGGTCGAAGGAGGACTTGGTATCTCTTCTGCGGCAGAACGGCGGCGGAAGGCGGCGGAAGTAAACGAAGCGGCCTCTGCCGCGGAAGCTGGCGGAAGCAAAAGT